AAGCGAACTCATTCGTGATTTAGCTACAATATATCTGCATTGGGTGGAACAGATGGAGTGGATGGACACACCCACCTAAAAAAACCCTACTTAAACCGATACCCCTAAAACTTAAGTACATTTAGTCCAAACAAGTTTATAGATAAGTGTAGATTTACTTTTCTATAGCAATTTTAAGATTAATATCAATTTCTTTCAAAATATGCAGCATTTTCAGAATAGACTCGAGTGAAGTGTCTATGTTTGTAAGTTATTATATGTGTATGTATGTAAGTTACTATTTTGAAAATCCCCATAGTACCTAACAAAAGACAATATTTTAAAATAGTAAGACTCAAGATAGGAAATAGAGATAATAGACAATGTATAAACATTTCTTTAAAATGGATAAAATTTCGTTTTAAAATCAAGTTGTATGGAATAAACTGAATGAATTAATTTATTGTAAAAAATAAATTACTGGATGAATTAATTTATTGTTATTTTGTGTAAGACCAATGTTTTTACGAAAGTTTAGTGATGTTAGAAAAATATATAATATTTTCTTCAAATGTTTACCTCAACAGTTTACAGTAAATTTCGATTGACGGGTAAGGCTCTAAAGATAGACTGCCGGCGGCTAATTCATCCAATAGTACCATACCAAAATCCCTCTTGCTGGTGACAAGTAACAAAATTATACGCAACAAGCTCTGTGCTCACTAACCCCTTGGTACGTTGGTAGGTATAGTCATCTCTTTTCAAAAAAGCATGTCTGTTAATGCCTTTTGTGAAAACCTGTCTAGCAGTGGTCTTTCAAATACTAACAATGAACAAAGAAACCGGTTTTTTTATGGCTGAGGTCCTTTTCTTTCTATTGAGAAATGCCAACGCATACTCGCCTCGATCTACAAGGGCTCGAGCAAGGTGAGTATGCGTAGTCAAATACGGAATATGTCGAACTTGCATCGACTAAAATCTCATGCTGCTCCACCTTCGTCGCATATTGACAGGGCTGCGGGAATGCTTTCGTACACATCCGCAGCCCCACTAGTGACAGCCGCCCCATGACAAACCCTACTTGGGGGAGGACTACTCCTCCCTCTTCTTCTTCTCAGGCTAGGTGCACAATTCCACCTGCGCAACGGATCCCACGAGCACGATACGCAGAGGCCATGGGGCCAGAAAAAATTAACACTCCGAAGCACCCGCTTTCCTGACTCCAGCGGCGGATCTTGATGGTTATCTGATATGATATAATGATATATCATATGATGATGATCTGCTGCCAATCAACTTTCATCTGTGGAGGGTAAGGAGAACGGCGTCTCGCGATACCGTCACTCCATTCCCCCCGCAGCCCCAACATCTCCGCATCAAAGGTGTGGCTCAGACAGAGCCATGGCGGATAGGGCGAATGGTTCATCACCATACCAACAATTCTCTTCGCCGCGAGTCCACCTCAGTTACGATGGGAAAGGAGAGTGTATACCCTCTTCGCCAAAGTCTACCAACGCGCATCCGAAGTGGGCTAAGCAAGTTCACTCGGAGCTGCCACTTCGGGTCGGCCTTACACACAGATAACCCCCTAATAGATTCCGCATACGTGGCCACAAACACGCGCAATCGTGCTAGCTGTAGCTAGCATACAAAGTAACGTTAAGAATCACAATATCAATGTCGACCAAGTTAGTGACCCGTCCGAGTCCTTACAATTTAAAAATAGTCTTGTATCCAAAATACATTACAAATGGCTTCCTGTGCAGTAAAATAGTGTGCCAATTAGCTAAGACATCCAGTTATCAAAAAGATGGCATAACATTTCATCGGTAAGTAAATTCTATTCTTATCACGTCAACCTATTTCAAATGCACCGGATTTCAACTTATACTGGTATTATAATGGTGCAAAGTGATAACAATTAAGCACCCGTTGATATCTTTTTGAAATGTCCCTTTCACTCATTACATAAATTACAGTAGTTGTCTTTGTGTGTAACGACAGCACGTGTATCGATAGTGTTGTGATTTATAAGTAGATATTTGTTTGGTCATCGTTTACGTTTTTTAAATTAGTTATTGTATAAAAATAGTGGTGTATCATTGTGGTTATAGGTACCTATATGTTATAGGTTTCCTAAATGCCCCGAAAGGAAAAAGATGTGGATCGACGCTACTTGTCGAGGGGACCAATCGTTTCCCACCAAAAATAGTGTGCTATGCTCAAGACAATTCACAGAAGACAATCTTCATATTATGAAAAACCGTAGAAGGCTGTTGGATTCCACTATACCATCTCTATACTTGCCAGTTTTAATATGTAATTTTAATTTTTTTTTAAAAGTATAGTCCAATATAGATTACACAATAAGTAAAAGTTTTGAATGGTTGATTGAAACGTGATATTCTAATATTTAGGCGATTGTTACACGCCGAAATTAAACTATTTTTAACGGATTTATAAATCATAAGCCAAGTAAAAGTTATAATGTGATTATTGTAATTCTAGTGTTACATGAACTTCAGTAATATCTTATTATAATTATTATTAAGTACATTTAAATTTGAAACACGTACCGTATGGTTTATTAATTAATAAAGCTATTTAGTTACAGCACTTGGCAAAAATACTCTCACCACCGAGAGGACATACTAGAGCACACACAAAGGATTCACACCGTTTTGTTAGTAAGATAAAAGACCTACATCTCGCTGACAATGAAACTATGGTCAGTTTTGGTGTTCAGTCAATATTCACATGCCTACCTATCGAAGACTGCATCTCAATTGTAACTAGGAAGCTAGAAGTAACAACATGCCTGCAGAATATGCAGTAATACTAAAACACTGCTTCACATCTGGCTATTTCTTGTGGAAGGAAGAGTTCTACAAGCAAGATGATGGCGTGGTAATGGGCTCACATGTTTTTCCTATAGACGCCGACATATTCATGGAGGACTTTGATGAGAAAGCCCTTCTTAATGCTCCTGTAAATCCAAGATTCTACAAGCGATACGTAGACGACACTTTCACGATTTTACCATCCGACAAAGCATTTTTAGACCACCTTAACTCCATAAACTCTAAAATACAACTCACAATGGAGTTCGAGGCAAATAATTCTTTAGCTTTCTTAGATATTTTAGTCATCCGAAATCCTGATAACACTATTGGTCACATTATGTATAGGAAAAAGACCCACACCAACCGATATTTAAATGGTGAATCTCACCATCATTCTTCACAGTTAGCCACCGTGAATAAATCTTTGTTTTAGAGAGCACAAGGGATCTGTGACAGAAAACATCTGGCTGCCGAGCTTCAGCACGTCAAGCAAGTATTGCAAGGCAGCAAGCTATGGGTGTAACAGTCGATGGATGGGTGCTACCAACTGCCATCTGCAAAATCTAGCCAAACCCAAGCATACTACTACAAGACTTCAAGATATTGTAAGCTCGTTCTATGTAGATCGGACCAAAAATCAATATTCAAAAACTGAAGGTAGCTGGGCTAACTGTGACATTGAGACGTCAAACACCTCAGTACCCTCCCCCTCCCTCGTGACCATGCGTTAATTAAACGCGATTAAATCCGTGAATATAGTTTTATTCAATGTGTAGTGCTCGCCGAAATTAAAAAAAAATATATTTAATAAATTTCAAATAAAAATTGATGAATTTATTTATTGATCAATACAAAAAACTCTGTCTCATCACTATGATTCGGAGCATTCAAAGTTCAACCTTGAATTATCCAATCACAGCGCATTTGGCATGTCCCCCGCAACTCATGTATGCCGCTAAATTCGGTGAAATCGAAACGGAACAAATACTCCATGATGCGGTATCTATTAGGGGGTAATCTGTGGCCTTACACCTCGAGCTAGTCAAGTTCCTCTTTGTTCGTCAAGGGTGACTAAGCCACGGCTACTAGGCCCCGTTCCATTCGAGGGGATGGCTGAGGCCCTAAGCTGACTTGTGATATACTGTAACTGCCATAATGATATTATTTTCTGAAGAAGTAAGAGTGTTAAACGATCATGAATTCCACTTGATGGAAAGTAGATGCTATGGCTCCCTGTCATCTACATCTATCCTTCTGAAAAAATTTTTGTATATCCATGATGTAGATAAAACAAAGTTAGACCGGTCATACACGGGCAGCTTGAAGCAGCTAGTATCGACTGCTTCAAGCTGCGACCGCGTAACAAACTACAGTCTTCTATGTACACACATACACGAAACCACTCGAGCTGTTGACTGCTCTCGCGCAGCTACAGTTACCTCCACCCGCGTTCTTCATTCCAATATTGGATAAACCCACAACTTTCTATTCCTACGCCGCCACCATCGTCGCCTGAGTAAAAGTAGCAGGTAGTGCTTCTTCCTCAAAATCCATGTTACTACTGATTTGAATGACCAACTGCAGCATTTGGTATCTGTCTGGTCTAGTACTTATCAATGGCAGCCTCAAGCTGTTTACTATCTTTTGATCATTGATAAGAAACTTTACAACAAAGTACACTTGCTTTATACAAAGTCTACGAACTAGTTTACATTTCAATACATTTTAACCAGACTAGTACTACAAAACCCAGTTACTATTTGCTCTGTTATGACAAATCTATTATCTCGATGCAAAAAATCCATTGCTCCATTGCTGCGTGAAAGAAAGAAAAACCACCAAACACACTTTTACATTCATGATATTAGTAGAAATTAAGATTTTCGTATTTTATAAGAATCTATATGAATGTCATCACTGATATCACACAATGTCACATTGTTATCAGCAGAAGAAAATTATTATAATTTGTATTAAAATCTTAAGATTTTTAAACAACCTGTATAACATGCATGAGTAAAAATGTATTCAAGTCAGGTACATTAGTCCCATCCGCGCTCGTCCTTGCCATGGTACCGCCAAACATCGATGCCAACACGAACGCTAGAGCCTTATATATTAGCCTGAATAGAAAAACCATAGTCAGTGTCCAACAGGCTTCGAAAACAAATAATCAATATGTTCAAAGTTGTAAGTGAAACATTATTTATTACTATTAGTAATTAACTTTAATTTCTTACTTGAGTTATGGCTTTTAATAGTTTTGTGATAACATTTAATTAATTAACTAAGCCAATCGTGGTACATTTTTTATGGTAATTTCTTTTAATATTTCTTTGAAATCATATACAAAATTCCACTCCTTACTTTTTTAAGAGAGCCGTGGCAGCTCACGAGGTGTGCGCTTGATGTAAATTTCGTAGCATACGAGCACCCCAAGTGGAATCCCTACCGGAATCAATGAAATTGTTAAATAGTTTTTAGGTACTGACTTGCTGCGTACTCGGCGATTAAAGAAGCATCGTTAGGAAAACTTTTTGCCTGCGACATAAAATATTTATTGGGCACGTTAAGTACACCAATACTGATTACCCCGTTACGCTTATAAATGGGAGAAGGCTGATAGCTAGAGTCTGAGATGAGAAAACTAGCGTAGTAGACACTGGTGACCGATTAATAGCGAAAATTTCATACGAAAACGCTGAATCCAAGTTTCGCCCTGAGTAGGTTGGTTCATTTTGAGTGTGAAAAACTTCCCAGTCATATACAATTGTATAGCTGATGAAAACTTTATGTGTCCTAAAATTAATTTTAATTTCCCATACTACGAGTTAAGGTTGCCATTAACAATTACAGAGTTATCCGTAGAAAACGAACTCGGTTTGGTCACGAGTTATCAACTAAGATGTAGACAAATATGCCAATAACTAAATTTTTACCTGCTTATTGTAATTAAACTCCTCTAAATACATCTCGTGCTAATTCACAGACCACGTTTATATTACGAGCCTTAGATGATATTTATTTTATTATTATGATGATAATAATTTGGATCTATTAGGTATAACGTATTTACTAAATTTCCAATAAATAAATGCATTTAATTTAGTTCTGCAATTAAACTTGTAACATTTTATTTAAGTTTTTCCAGAGACCAACAATATGGAAATGATTTTTATTTTTTTCTTAAATAAAGCACTTGTGGTGGCCATTCTATACAAAAGTATATTAAAATTTTAAAAAAACTAACTGTTATAAAACCAATGAAATCAAACTCCGTGTTTAGCTTTACTAATTTTATATTATATGGTCAATAATGTATAAAATCTCTCTAGTGAACTATTATTTCACTATACTTTAATAAATGAAAATTTTAATAAACGTTGGTAGTTAAAGAAAGTAATATTAAGTTAATTATGATAAATTTAAATGTCGTAAAATACTATTTCAAAAAAAAATTATTCAGTTGTTCCAGTAACATAACTCACCACTAGTATCTATTCTGACTTTATAATTAAAACGAGTTCAAACATCTTGCTTCGAGCAAGTTTTCAGGCTTCAAAGCGATATCGTGACCTGAATTGGAAATAGTGTATAGTATCTTATCAAAGTGATAGGTCTATTTCGTTAGAAGGGCATTAAATGACTAATAAGGATAATGAACATTACTTAGGATTTATAATTAAAATTAACTTGAAATATCTTATCGCACTGTTTTATTATTTCGACATTCAATTCTACGCACAAACGTATTAGGTGATTTATTAAAATATAATTAAAAAAGTTTTTGGTCGTTATGGTCAAATAGTTTTTACGGGCATTTTACACACGATTAGTCCTAAATTTACAAACTAATCCACCAAATTTTTTTCTATTTCGACGAATAAAACCCTGTTAGAAATTGCTATTTTTACTCCGCCTTTTTACTGAGCACTGTAAACAGAATTGACAAAACTGCAACATTCTAATTGCTTTTGCGATTACGTACGCGACTAGACCAAGTCGCGCTCTTTTAGATTTCATTTATTTTGTAACAACTATAAGCTCCAGTATTTTATTGTCTATTTTATTTTAAAAACGTTCCCTCCACACTGAGAACCAATTCCGTATCTCGGAGACATTATGTAGATAAATTACACGTGGATAAACACCCAGACCCTAATGATGTTTCTATAAATGTAAGTAGTTGCAAGCCATAAATTGTCGCAAGGTCCGTAGAGCAGTGTACTACCCAACTTCCATATTTGGTAGGGAGAGACCTTTGTTTAGCAGTAGACTTTTTAAAAGACTGAATTAATGATAAAGGTGCATACGATATGTGATTTATTATTTTCTGCACTACCAAACCAATCACAACACCATTAACATCCACACCTAATATAAGTGAATTACACCGAGAAACATTTTTTATCTAGTATGTTATAAGTTATAACTCATAAATGTCGTTTCAGTTGATCTTCGTCGCTCTCCTAGCTTTCGCTACAGCGAAACCTCTGTTGTATAGCTACACTGCTCCAATGGCAGCAGCGTACACCGCACCAGTAGCAGCTGCCTACACCGCACCCGTCGCATACTCGGCATACAGCGCCTACACGCCCGTCGCCTACTCCGCTTACACTTACGCCTCGCCTTATGCCTACTATATTTAAAATATTAATAGATACTTGATAATAGACGACCCTTCATGATGATCCTTTACAAATTTTATTATAATGAAATCAAATTGAGCTTTATACGTCACCAAATATGAGGCAAATTATTACTGTAACTAAATTGTTGACGACATCATTTTTAAATTAATTTATTAAAATAACTTATTGTGCCATGTAATACAATATGTATTAAATACATACTGAAATCTACAATACTGTTTTATTAATGTTCATTTATACATTAAGTGGTACCGCCTTAGTCTCAGTGAATCTTTGCCGTTTAAAAACGCTAGGAGAAAACCAATGTAATTACATTGGTTTTCATGAGTACCACGATATACCTGATCATTTAATAAATACCCCTATATACATGCTTCTCCGATCCAAGTAAGCTTTTAGATATGCCCCACGCACAGACAGCTAATGTAAAATATCAGACAAAAGCTTTAACGGGTTCTTTTTAGCTTTAGCTTTAGTACTAGATTATTTTTAAATGCTGCAGATGACGTATCTGGGTACTTTTTTTAAGTGATCATGCAAAATGGTAAAGCTTTCACAGTGGATGTGCTGCCAGAAGGCTCCAGGCAAAAATAACACGTCATTTATTTAAAAATATGCTTACCAGGTTAAAAAAGAGCATTCTAACAGTAAATAGCACACAATAATAATATTGACAAAAACAAATAAAAAATATCTTAGAGTATACACACACATACATTATTCTGAGAAAAATACTTTTACATTTTTTTTTGTATTATTGAACTCCAGTTACACTCTTGCTCTTAAGTATTATTTTTTCATTAAGAGGGCATATGCGTTTCGCGTCGAAAACTACATGTTTTAGGGTGTTTCTAAGGGCGATATCGTAACGATGTGAGGAGATTATTTGCAGAAAATTAGAGCTTTAGAAAGATGAAGTCTTTATTTAGTGCACTTCAAATCATAGTTTTTAATGACGGTTTTTTAAAGCGAAGACAATCCCTTCACAGCGTTTTACGAAAATATGCGTCAGAACTATCTTTCAGTTTGCAATGTGCAACAACAAAATGCAACCATTACTATAAGCTAAAATACTACAATAAGTTTATTACGTATCTGCGTGGTAATAATTGGATTATGTACTTGGGAAAGGAAGATATTCAAAATGGAGCCAACCGATCAAAAGTAAACAAAAATCCTATTGTTCGAGATAGGTGCACGTGTATATAAAATAAATAAAGTTAAAACACTCATTAAATAATAAAATCAGATTCACTGTGCCCATTTATTAACAAGTATGATAAATTATCGAACAAATTCACTATTAGAGGTTAAGAACATAAACTCGTCACTCATATAATATGAAATAGTAAATAAGTATTTTAACCTATAAATGTGGGTTGAGATACATTGTACAGAGATACGTTGAGAAATTTTAAGTGATATATATTAACGTTTTTCTTACTTTCATTTACTTACGTTGGGCAGTCGCCATTATCACTCATTGGGCAAGATTATTCCCACTTTTGACCTGCACGTAGTTTCGGACAGTATTGAAGAAATAGGAAAAGTATAACACTGAGGAGATAGGGACGCAAAAGCACTATTGAATTAAAACTGCTGGGAAAAATATCTAACAGGAGTTATATAGATGCTATATACAGACCGTTAGAACTGTCACTTAGAATATATACATGGATTTATGTATATATAATAAAATAAGAACGAAAAATACTACTGGTAGATGTTAAGCAGTGCAGAGAGGCATAAGTAATTACTGTAAACTTAAAATAGTTGAGAGAATATCTAGCATAAGTTATTTAAAATGGTATGTATTAGAGCTGTCATTTATGAGGATAGACATGGTTAACTATTCAGACCTTACCGCTACGACTTAGAAGGTAGACAGGTCTTAATTCACATATAAGATACTATCATTAGTGGAAAGATATTAAGATTGGCTAGGACTCAGAAGACATCACTGCAGGCTTTAAACCGTTAGAGCTATTACATAGAGGATAGACACGGTTGACTTTTCAAACCTTAGAGCTAACACTTTGAGGTTAGACAGGTTTGAATTGAAAGCAATATCACATGAAGGAAGACATTAAGATGGACTACGGCTCGGAAGAAATCACTGCAGGCTTTAAACTGTTAGAGTTGTCACATAGAGGATAGACGCAGTTGACTATTCAAATCTTAGAGCTACGAGTATCACTTTGAGATGAGACATATTTGAATTGAAAGCATTACCACTTGAAGGAAGACATTAAGATCACTGCAGGCTTTAAACCGTTAGAGCTATCACATAGAGGATAGACACGGTTAACTATTCAGACCTTTTAGAGCTAACACTTTGAGGTTAGACAGGTTTTGAATTAACATTAAAGCGCTGTCACTATAAAGTAAAATATTTTGCGGTACTGAGATTTAGAAGCAATCAAATAAAGATAATTAATGGTATAATTTTTATTACAAAGGGTGCCTTGTATAATATTATGAGTATAACATAATGAAAAACTTGTTACAAATTATAGATGTAAAAGTACTAGAAAGTCTCACAAGGGTTTTCCAAAAGAAGTCCAAAAATTGTCAACGTAAGAGAACCCCCACACGATCACCGGACATCAAGGTAGCAAAATATACCAACATACCAATGATTTGAAAATTGGGGCAGCAGACCCGGAAATTATCCACCCTGAGATTTAGTTGTATACCCTGAGATTACAACTAAACTTTCTTTAGTATCAGAAAATCCTGATTATGGAAAGAAATAAGTGCTATAAATAAACTTAACTCATGGTTTTATTAAGGTTATGTAAACTTTTAACGTCCACAAAAAATTGGCAGAACAAATTAGAAATAATAACTGAATTCTGGGACAAAATTATCCGGTGTGTAAGGGAAGTCAGTTTACTAGCCCTTAAAATTGTTAATTCCCAAACAAATGGGATTTAATAGATGCATTTTTAAATCTAAAGACAGTATATTATTACATATTATTTTGTAGACACATAAAATAAAAAATAAAAAGCTACATAATGTGACACCCCTCTATCAGGCATTTGGGTGTTGGTAGGCCTATGTGCAGCTGTGGACTTTTATAGACTGCAATGGATGGATGGATAATATGACATGAAAGTAAGAAGAAATGTGATATGAGAACTGTTTTACCTTGATATGGAATATCAAAAGGTTACAAGTTTAAATACACTTAAAATATAAGTAAGCAAAAAGTAAGTAAAAAATAAGCATTTAGCCTGTTTAGAAAAATCTGAAAGATTGAACCAAACCTATTATCAAATTATATCCCTTGTACTACAATAAATTTGTTAAATTATTAAAAAAATAATAAAAAGACAACAGATAGCCTGTAAAATGTTTCACGACTTAGGTTATTGTCAATTTTAAAAAATTAACAAAATATAATTAAAAAACTCAGTAAAGAAGATAAACAATAAATTAATATTATTGAGGTAGTAAAATGAATATAATATAATAATTATTATATAACAATTAATATAATAAGACGAGAAAATAATATAGAGAAATTTCTGCTGATAGGCAATTAAATAAAAATGAAAATCTAGACCATAATTTATTAATTGACAATTAAACATAGGCACTTTATTGCATTCGAGCTGTATTATGTAATTTAATATAACCTAAGTTACAAGAAAGAAAGAAGTGTTTAGCATCATTAGGTTTTAAATAGAATGATGAGTTGCAAATGCATTAATGGCCTACAACGGTACATAAAATATCAATCTGGGAAAATATAAAACTTACATACTTCACTAATTAAAACAGTGGTAAATTAAACAATTAAAAAGAAATTTAAAAATAATTATAGGAAATAATTTTCTATTGTGAGATATTAAAAAGTTATGACAAGTTAAAAATAAGTAATATGTGAAGTAATATTTAAAAAATAAAATAAAGATGGATTTATTCAGTAAAATTAAAGTATGGTATCATTCATACCTATCATGTTATTATTATCACCTTCATAACTAAATCCAGGTATGGTAAAAGCACAATAGAGTTATGCTGACAGATGCATACACTGATTGCCAAAATATGTTAGCAACAAAATAAATTGTTGTAGTAAGAGGAAATTATGTAAAAATACTTAAGAACTATAAAAATTTTATGATATAAATAGTGACTAAATATATTGTGCATAACAATGAGGTTAATAATGTTGTGCTTAAAACCTTATTATATATAATAATGTATATATAATGTTATGTAATATATATTCAATTCAAGTGGTAAATTTCTGACCTTAGATGGTAGTTAATAATATTACAAAAAAAAAAACATTAAACACATAAAACCGTTTGAAATATAAATTGACACTTCTCAACTGGATGGAGAGAAACCAATGGAATGAGACAAAATTTGGGTTTTAGTCCTTCATTGAGAGTAAATTACATAGATATTATTCGATATTAAAGTAGTATATGTTTATATTTTTGGGAATGGTAGAATACAATACAAAACTTTGAGCAAAACAATATAGTTATAATGAATAGTAAACTTACTACAACTAAATAATACTTATGTTGTACAATTTTACCCAGAGTTGATAAAAATCCTGCTTCATATATTAACAAGATAGAGAGGGTTCTATTCATTAACTATTGAGGATTCAATATTTTAAATTAAATAAAAATATGGAAATTTAACATACAATCTAAAATTGAGCCAAGTAAACAAAAAACAGTCAGAGGAAGTCTTTCAAGTCTATTCAACAAGATCATAAAGCAGTGTCAAAAGCTAAAACTTGATGAAATTAGTAACGAGAAATAATAAAATTATTATATACTTAACAATGGGGTTCTGTAGGCATGACCCAGAAACCATGGCAGTTATATTAGATTGGGGGACGATTCTTCTTTTATGTATTTCCTCTTAATGTCGATGAGTGAAAAAACCATAGGTTTTTGTTTTTTTTTTTCACATGAGCAGTAAATGTGAAAAAATGAATTATTTATTTTGAATAAAATAACAAA